ATATTTTCCGACAGCGAACGCAACGTCAAGGAGAAAGTGTTCGTGAATACTTGCAAGCGCTAAAACATTTGGCAAAAACCTGTAACTTTGGAGATAAGCTGGAGGAGAACTTGCGCGACCAGTACGTATCGGGTTTGTGCAATGAAGACATGAGATCGAGGATCTTCGCGGAGAGGAACGTGGACTACAAGCGCGCAGTGGAGCTCGCACAGGCGCTGGAGGCGGCGGAGCGGCACGCGGCCACGGCGAGCGCGCAGGGCGCGGGCGGCGCCGGTGCGCGGGCGCGCGACGACGGCTTGCATCGGCTGGGCGCGGGCGGCGCCGGCGGCTCCCGGGCCAACGCGGGAGCGCCCCGGCCGCAGCGCGCATGCCCACGGTGTGGTAAAGTAGGGCATGTCGAGGGCAAGTGTCGTTTCAAATACTACAATTGTGATGAATGTGGTCAACGGGGCCATATAAAAGCAGTGTGTGTTAAAGGCAATAAAGTGAGTGGCAAGAACGCAACGAAAAATCAATTCTTTTTGAATGGATCGGACTCGGACGATGAAGGTTGTAATTTTTATAATTTAGTAGTTAGCAGTGACGGTGATGGGCCTTATTTTGCAAATTTAAAAGTAGAAAACATTTTATGTAAATTTGAAATTGACACCGGAAGCAAATTGTCTGTTATTTCTAAAAAGTTTTATGACAGAAATTTCTCTAATTTACCAATTGAACAGAAACAAATTACCTTAAAATCGTATACCGGTGACGTCATTGAGACTTTGGGCTTTATTATGGTCAACGTTAGTTGTGGCAAAAAACAAGCAAAGTTAAATTTATTTGTTATTGAAAACGGCGGGCCGCCATTAATGGGCCGTACGTGGATAAAATGTTTAAAATTGGGAATAGTAGAATGCCATAATTTGACTGAGGAGGACTCGATGGCGATTTCTTTGCGAAAAGAATTCCCAGATGTATTTGCTGAAGGTTTAGGTACGTTTAAGTCTAAATTTAAATTGTATTTAAAAGATGATTCACCTGTTTTTATTAAAGCGCGACCCATACCGTTAGCATTGCGACAACCAGTCGAAAGGGAGCTCGAACGATTGCAGCGGGATGACGTCATTTACAAAGTTGAGAGGTCAGATTATGGCACGCCTATTGTGCCTGTAGTTAAAGCGAATGGCAATATTAGATTGTGCGGTGACTACAAAGTCACAATAAATCCACTTTTAAAAGACTATCATTACCCGTTGCCTCGTATCGAGGACCTTTTTGCCGCCTTAGGAGGGGGTGAACAGTATACTAAATTAGATTTATCCAATGCATTTCAACAATGTATTTTAGAAGAAGACTCGCAAGCGATGACAGCCATTACTACTCACATTGGTACTTTTTTATATAAGCGCGTACCGTTTGGTATTAAATGCATTCCTGAAAATTTTCAAAAAATCATGGAAGAGACTCTAAGTGGCCTGCCATCGACTGCTGTATTCGCTGATGATATCTGTGTCACAGGGAAAGATAAATCATCCCACTTGGCGAATTTGAGAGCGGTGCTACAAAGGCTTAATGAAAATGGGTTAAGAATAAATTTTAGCAAATGCCAATTTTTCAAGGATAGCGTTACCTACTTAGGGTATAAAATTGATAAACTTGGTTTACATACAGATTCAAAAAAAATTGAAGCCATTGTAGCAGCGCCCGCACCAACTAATGTCACTCAATTAAAAAGTTTCATGGGTCTGGTAAACTTTTATTCTAAATTCTGTGCAAATATGAGTGATATTTTAAAGCCTATGTACGATCTGTTGAAAAAGAATGTTCAGTGGAACTGGACAGCTGATTGTGATAGGGCTTTTAATAAAATAAAAACGGTGTTAAGCAGTTCCCCTGTGCTCGCGCACTACGATCCAAACTTAGAGTTGATTTTGTCGGTTGACAGCAGCGCGTACGGCCTGGGCGCGGTGCTCACGCAGCGCCGCGCGGACGGCGCCGAGCTGCCGGTGTGCTGTGCCTCGCGCACTCTCAACAGTGCCGAAGCTAGCTACTCTCAGATAGACAAAGAGGCGCTCGCTATCGTGTTCGGAGTCACTAAGCACCATCAGTACCTATACGGGAGACACTTTACTCTGAGGAGCGACCATCGACCTTTAAGTTACATTTTTGGTAAAAATAAGGGTCTGCCGGTGACTGCGGCAAGTAGACTGCAACGTTACGCGGTTAAGTTAGCGGCATACGACTTCTCTATAGAATTCGTTAAATCGGAAAAAAACTGTTTTGCCGATGCTCTTTCTCGTCTTCCTCTAGAATTGACCAAAAAGCAACTACGAGGTGAAGACGAGGAAGGTAGGTATTTGCATTACGCACAAGATAGCTTTCCGATCAGTTTTAACGATATTAAAACGGAAACGGCAAAGGACGTGCTTTTAAGTAAAATATACGGATTTGTAATGTATGGTTGGCCGAATAGATACGCGTATAATGAAATTGAAAAGATTTATTTTAATAAAAAAGATTATTTATATATTGATCAGGGATGTTTAGTATGGGGTTATCGTATTGTGGTCCCAAAGTCATTACGAAATTGCATCATGAAAGAGATCCACGACGGCCACCCGGGTATAGTTAAAATGAAACAAATCGCACGTAATTATGTTTGGTGGGAAAATATAGATCGAGACTTAGAGGAGGTTGCGCGCGAGTGTTTACCGTGCCGGGAGCTGCGGCCCGCGCCCCCCGCCGCGCCGCTCCACTCGTGGCCCTGGCCAGCGGAGCCATGGGCACGATTGCACGTCGATTTTCTCGGCCCGTTCAATAATAATTATTATCTCATAATAATTGATGCACATTCAAAATGGATCGAAGTAGAAAAAGTCAACACGACCTCAGCCAACGCAGTTTGTGATAGTTTGAGACGTCATTTTTCTCGTTTCGGTTTACCTAAACGCATAGTAAGCGACAACGGACCGCCATTTTCATCTGCCGCTTTCGCTGAATATTTAAATTGTAACGGTATTAAACATACTTTAGTGCCACCATATCATCCCTCGAGCAATGGAGCTGCTGAAAACGCCGTGCGCACTATTAAAAGAGTACTCAAAAAGGCAGAATTAGAAAGAGAAGACACGAATAGGGCGTTGAGTAGATTTTTGTTTATGTACAGAAATACCGAACAGAGTACGACGGGACGCGAACCTGCAGTCGCCCTGATGGGCCGGCGGCTGCGCGGCCGCCTGGACCTGCTGCGCCCCGACGCCGCCGAGCGGGTGCGCGCGCGCCAGCTCGTCGAGGAGGCCCGGGACGAGGCCCCGTTACGCGTTGCCAAACAAAACGAGCCAATTTTGATACGTAATTATTCCAAGTCGGGCAATAAGTGGGAGGAGGGCGTGGTACATGAGCGCATTGGACCTGTATCCTACAATGTGACTACAAAGAACGGTCATACACATAAGCGTCACATCGATCAGATACTCGCTAGGAAGTCACGTCATTCACTGAGCCGAGTGATGGATAATTCGCATAACAAGTCAAATTCGGCTTGTTCTAAAGACACGTCGGTCGGTGACGGTGACCACGAACATGACGAGTCATTTGATAGTGCGGAGGAAGGATCGAGCACGGGCGCGGCCTCTCCGGCGCCGACCTCGCCATCGACGTTGCTGTCTCCGACGGCACAGCCTACTGATAAAATGCGCAGGGAAGCTGCTATACGTTGTTGCAAAAAACTTAAAAATGTTAACTAATTTGATTAATGTCGAGATAGGTATATAATTATTTTGATGTTACATTAAATACATATTTATATATGTTATAACATTATATACACATACGCTCATTTAACTTGTTATAGACTATATTTATTTGTTGTAACAGAAACGGAATGGTGGTGTTATATTTAGGAAGGAAAAGTGTTATGTATGTATAGTTATGCACCTATGTAGTTAGGCTCGCAGCTACGCCGCTGGGCGCTAATAAATCAGTTTACGTTCAACCGCTGTCTTATTGCTACGTACCTATCACTGGTTAAGGTCGCGGAAAGAGCCTGGATGCGGGCAGCGCAGGACCGGTCATTCAGTATCATCGTTTCAGCCACAGGACGTCCACTGCTGAACATAGGCCTCCCCCAATAGGTCATTCAGTATAGGGGTATCAATTTTTTTGGAAAAAAATATATTGGTCCTGTAGGAATCGTATCTGTAATTTTGAGTAGTATCACAGAATAATAATAAGTAGGTACTGTAGTTTAATAGAGGCTATGCACTAAAATATGTATGGACTATGGAAGCTGGAAACATTGAATTTTCGGATAGATCCAGTTTATTCTGTAACCTATTATTGGTACCGTTTGATAGATTCGTGAAGCACATTCATGATCAACAACCAGTCTTTGGATATTTTGTATAGTTTAGAAACAATCGAGTGAGATCACACGTTTCCACCCGATTGTAGTGTTAATTTTGAAAAATCTAAAACGTTAAAATAACGGTATCGTTATAGCTGCTGTTATAGTGACATTGACGTAATGTCAATGTAACACTAGAAACGTCAGAATAGAGGGACGCGCGCCGGACGACACCGCGCGCTTTTGTGCTAAGTGATAATAGGTGATAATTAACAATTATTGTATTTAAAATAAGGTAATAATACTAATATAATATGAAAGTTAAGTATCCAGTGTTTAATTTATGAGAACAGATCTACCGGCCCCTACTAGTAGGTACATATTTTGTGTGTGTATTTGGTACTAATAGATCTGAATTTAAACTTACTGTAGTGTTGGCAGCGCCGGAACGAATGGTGCGCGCAGCGGGCCGGCGAGGCTGGCGCGGACGCCGGGCCCCGCCGCGCGTTCCGCTACGACCACCGCAGCTCCTTTAGTTCCACTGTGTTGCTCGGCGCGTCTTGGATCTGGGGGTAGACAGATTAATTAGTACTGATTGGTACTAAATGGTACTAATTAGTACTGAGTTGGTACTAAATGGTACTCATTAGTACTAATTCTCAATGAAATAAGTGTTCCGCTACGACCACCGCAGCTCCTTTAGTTCCACCGTGTTGCTCGGCGCGTCTTGGATCTGGGGGTAGACAGATTAATTAGTACTGATTGGTACTAAATGGTACTAATTAGTACTAAGTTGGTACTAAATGGTACTAATTAGTATTAATTCTCAATGAAATAAGTGTTCCGCTACGACCACCGCAGCTCCTTTAGTTCTACTGTGTTGCTCGGCGCGTCTTGGATCTGGGGGTAGACAGAATAATTTGTACTGATTGGTACTAAATGGTACTAAATCGTACTGATTACTCGTAATTCCTATTGATTGATTTTCTGATTGGTACTAAGTTGTAATGATAATTACTTATCGCACTTATAGGTACTGATTAATACCAATGCATACTAATTTATACTAATTCGATCTGTTTTGTACTGATCAGTTTTCATTTAGCATAGACATTTATTTTGTGATTTGTGATTATTTAACATCTCAAAAAATCCTCCGAAAAATCTATAACTCAAACAACAGACTATCGTAGGTAAGTACTAAAAATGTATACAATAATAAATACATTGATGTTATTGTGTGTACCGTGTATTGTGTATTAAGTATCTACGAATCCTTACCATACAGCCCTATCTACTGTTTGAAAAACCGTGTACATTACATTATTGTGTACTAGCAGTCTAATTTTGTGAAAGTGTCTCTGCAAGACTTGAAATATACAGTGAATATTCTAATATACCAACACTGCTCAGCTACGCGTAGCAACGCAACAATACATTATTAAATAAGTATACCTCTTCCAAAACTCCAAAATCAGATTCTACCCTTTCCGTTCGGCAGTAATGATCGGGACTCCATGTCACCTGTTTTAAAATAAATGAAACAAAACATAAAATTATAAAAACTGCAAGAAATAATCAACAAAATCGATTGAAAAGCAAGTAGTTTCAGCAAAAAGACGTCTACTGCTAAACATAGGCCCTCCAAGGATTTTCCCAATGCCTGGTTGATAGCAGCCTGCATCCAGCTTCAAGAAAACTCAATTAAAAAGCTAGTCCTTTCAGCTATAAGACGTCCACTGCTGGGCAAAGGCCTCCGCATTGAGGATTTCTACAACGATACGCTCCTGCGCTGCCCGAATCCAGGTACTTCCCGCGACCTTTACCAGATCGTTTGTCCATCTAGGTAGGCCTGCCTTACACTACGTCTTCCGTTGTCGTCACTTGAGAACACTGTCCCACCGGCCACATCGTCGTTTCAGCCAAATGACGTCCACCGCTGGACAAAAGCATCCCCAAGTATTTCCACAACGACCAATGCCACATAAGTTTGTCAATTCCGTAGTTAAGGCAGTTACCTTGGTTTTTTGATACGTGCTAAGATTAGGTCGAGTGCTGCAACAAAATTATCATTATAAAATATCAGCCACTTCAATGATTTCCAGATCGGTCTCTTGGTAGCGGCCTATGCTACATCCAGCGCCTTCCTGATACCTTCTATCCACTTTAATACGTTGCGCTTGCCAGTACGCGGCCTCCATTCCAGAACCTTGCTGCCCATTCACTCGTCGTGGAAAAAGAAACAAAACAAAAAAATCTGCGTGCAACAAAACATACCTCATATCGGTTGGGCGCTGGAGGCACGTGTGTGGCTGGGGAACACCTCGAGCATCCAGGTCTGAGGACTGTTCTGCTGGACGAACCGCCTCGCATGGCCGTCCTCAGCTCCTGGAAATTAATTAGGTATTAATAAGGAAATGTAGGCCTTATAAGCTCAAACAGCGTGCTATGGAGAGGGCTATGCTCGGTTTACAAGATTGAATCAGAAATGAGGAGATCCGTAAACTTACTAAAGTCTCTGACATAGCCTGACGGATTAGCAAGCTGAAGTGTCGCACATAGTACGCAGAACTGATGGCCGATGGAACAGCAAGGTTCTGGAGTGGAGGCTACGTACCGGAAAGCGCAGCATAGGACGTCCACCCACAGGGTGGACCGACGAGCTCTTAAAGGCAGCAGGAAGACGCTGGATGCAGGCCGCCACCAACCAGCGATTGTGGAAATCATTGGGGGAGGACCATGTTCAGCAGTTGTCGTAAGACCTTTCGGCCAGTGTGGGGAGTGTACGCCAAATCCTCCATTTGCCTCTGGTAAATTGGAGACGGTCGCGCTCCTGCATTGGAGACTATGACCTGATGATGATGATTTATGGTTTACCTCCTTTGATGTTTATAGAGCTGTATGATACCAAAGAAAGAAAGAAAGAAAGTATTTATTTGATGCGAGTATTAAAAGACATACAACCGCCTCTGTGGTCGTGGTAAGACCACCTGTTTCAGACGCAGAGCTCCCGGGTTCGATTCCCAGTGGGGGCAGATTTTTCTGTTCGGTTTGGCTTGTTAGCTACTAGCTATCTACTACCATCTTACCTAAGTCTGTCACCATAACAACAATGTTAACAGCATTGTTGTGTTCCGGCAGTTAGAGGTAAGATAGCCAGTTCCTCCGTGGTTGAGGATTCCGGGTGAAGCTCGCTTCCACCTTCGGCCTGATCGTCACTTACCATCAGATGAGATACAGGCCAAGAGCTTCCTCGTTGTGGATAAAAAAAATACAAATGCACACGTTAAAACTAACCTGTCCCATCTCACTGCACAGAGACTGTCTCCCCTGCGAAGCGTTCTTCTTCGTGTTCCAACAGAACTCTAAAATGGCCACCATTATGGCCAGTGCTAGTCCACACAGAAGTGTGACAAATACGCCACCTGTAACAAAGAATAACTCATAAAAAAACTCATAACTCATTTTATTTTATAAGACTTTTACACGTCCCAATATTACCCCTACCACTGCTTCGGGACATTAAATGGGCCAGCGCAAGAAACTCAGTCACTTCTCAGTCAACTTTGTAACTAACCACAGATTTACAGTCCAGTGGTAAGAATATCTCGGACCTAGAGATTCTTGTTTCAATTCCCAGAGGGAGCAGCATTTTCTGGTTTGGTTGGTTGTAGAACACTGGTTAGGTACACCTTCATTGTTTCGGCAATTGGGTGGTAAGATAGCCAATTCCTCTGTGGTTGGGGTTCAGGGTGAATCTCACTTCCATCTTCAGCTTGATCATTACTTTTATCATTGGAGATGTAGGCGTAAAGTTTATCCGTTGAGGATAAAAACATCTGTGAAAGTTTTTACTAAAACGACTTAAAAAGGTCACGAGACGCACCTGGTTGCGAGCAGCGCAGGACCGGTTGATGTGGAAATCCTTAGGTCTAACAGTGGACGTCCTTTCTCTCAATCAAGCTTACCATCAAATAATATGCAGGCTAAGGGCTTCCTCGATGTGTGTTTATAGCTTTATAGATCTAAACAGTCTATCGCGTCAATCCAGCAATCAAAATTATGGTCGTTGTTTATTCTGAAAATCTTATATTTTACCCACCATAGAGGGATAACAGAAACCTAGTCAAAAAGAGTAAAACAAGCAGCAGCTGTGCAGCCCGCAGATTGTAAATAAATCAATCTAAACTCACCTATATTCTGCACACCCAAAGGATTCGCCTTGCTGTCCTTTCCATCCCTATTGCAGACGTCTCCCGTGTTCTTCCACCACTTGTCGTACAGGATCTGGATGACTCCCTTCTCCTGGAGTTCCAGGATGGCCAGGGAGATTTTGTCGCGCCACGGACTGCCTTTCCATGTCGCTATGCCGTAGCCCTGCGAAATAGAATGTCAATAAAAAAAATCTAGCAAGTCGCATCTTTTACTTGAAGAAATCGAATTGCTTGAGGTGGGAATCGAGCCAGGGACTTTTCACTTGCCGGGCGTCTGCTCTCACCATCAGCAACTTACGTAAAGATTACTATGAGGTCTCACAGTGCGCTTGGACGCACAGGGTCACATACAAACCAATCACAGAGCTCTATTCAACACTGTGCATTCGATTTGCTGCTTCACATAAGCAAGCATCGTTTGTAATTACTGTGAATGTTTGAATTGTGGCCGTGGCCTTCGTCACCGTGGGCCACGGCATATGCTGAGTGGGGTCCCGTAGCAGTGGGCATCTTGTTGGTGAATGGGTGGCACTGCTCAGTTTACTCTTGTTTTTATGTTTTTTTTTCTTCTTCCATTATTTTGTGCCACTGTCATGTCTATGTAATTGCCTGTATTTGTGTGATGTCCATTGAACTCCATTGTAATAAATGTATCTTTCTTTCTTTCTTTCTAATTACGGGTGTTGGTGGTGAAGTAAGTAATTACTAAAATTAATTAATTAGTTTACCTTAGAGTCCAGCAGTCCCCCGATCTGCGTCAGATTACAGTCCCTCTGGACTCTATGGTCCAGCATCGTCGACTCCATGAGAAACGCGTAGTTCCCTCCCAACACTCTCCTCACCCCCTCCTCGTATGACGAGACCAGAGCCGGAGGAGATGCTGTGGACATGTGCTGCCACATCTTCTGATAGATATCGATGTTGGAGTCCTAAAAAGAAATTAAAGTTTTAAATAAACAACTTGAAACAATCGAACTGCCGAAGGCGGGAATTGAACCCACGACCTTCCGCTTGCCGGGCGACTGCTCTTCCAACTGAGCTACTTAGACACTGGATGAACCAGTCGAAATTTTCAAGTGTAATACCAGGCCTGTTCATCTCCGCGAGTTTACATCGAAAACAAAACACGCACGATGGCCCACCTACAGGATACTATTCGACAAGGCCTCACATACGAGCGAACATTGACTCACGCACGCGTATTCTTGTGTATGGTGGAAGAAAATAAAGAAAATGGTGTACTAAATACTGTGCCTGTGTGTTTAACTGCCTAAATAATAATAAAAACACAGAATATACTTTTTTAAGTTGCCTCAAGACACTGAGAGGTAAATAAGTAGTTAAATTATTCATGATAATTCATATTAAATCATGTATTTCCTCCGCCATTTTCCGCAGTTTGGCACCTCACGTCACATAATTTTACCGAAGTCAGCCCTATAGCTTCGGCGCAGTGCCGATCACTGACGTTTGTCAAAAAAATGGTGATTGACTCTTGAGACAGGCTAAATTACACCATATTGTTAATGACATTGAGCATACATTTTTTTAAATACCTTCGCGAAGTAAAACTTCTGTACGTAGTACTTATTATTATTCTGTGGTAATACGCTGTTATGGCCGCGTTTTATTTCATCAATGTTATACTACCCTAAGAGCCAAATACCGCAGGAGAACCAAATGACCGACATACTCGTAGCTCGCAGAGCTGGTGGCCGATGGGGCAGAAAATGTTCTTGAGTGGCTATCACGGGCCGGAAGATAAACATTTATGACTATGACTATGACGTAGTGTGGGCAGACCCCCCATTAGGTAGATGCGGGCGACGCAGGAACAGTCGTTGTGGAAATCTTTGGGGGAGGCCTTTGTCCAGCTGTGAACGTCATTTGGCTGAAAGGAACGAAGGTACAAAAGATGTGGTTCCGTGTCCAATTTTACCATCGGACGCGTCTCCGGGTTGTGGACAGGGGAACGCCCGCCAGCCTTGAGAAGTACCATTACCGGCACGTGGGACATCTTTAAAAACCCCCACAAGTAAGGGCTGGCGGGGCATTTGCGCGGGCACAATCTTAGGGGGACTGCTTTCAGTACTTCTTTGATCAATTGAGCAGCGGCATAGAGTAAGTAGAGCAGACTGTAACCCGCTACGGCGAGCCAGAGGTCCTGTTTTTCCAGGGCCAAGAGAAGAAAACCTCTTTAAAAACAACGGGATCGGGGGAAACATACTTTATTTAAAAGAAAATTTTTAAAAACTCACCCGAAAAAACGTCATCGTCGACCCTCCATTCAGAGTGCCGTACTGTATACTGGTCTGGGCGGCCAAGTCCGCGGCACTCTGTATGGGGAGGACTGTCCTCTCCACAGTCAGGAAGGCTGCGAGGTTCGCCGTGTAGGAGGACAGGATGATGAGGGTGAAGAACCACCAGATCCCGCCCACTATTCTGGTTGAGGTTGCCTGGGAAACATGCGTAATTAGTATAGCACAAGTAATAATAGTCTATCCAGCTAAGCCTATCTATTTTGCTAAAAGTACTTGTGTTAGGAGTAAGTTCACCACAATAGTCCAACGGACGACGTGGTTGGAACTATCGAATATCCAATTGGCAGTCCGAAACTTACACATCCCCTCATACATTTATAGGCCCTTTTCAGTGCACTTTTTTACTCGTCCCAAATATAGCTTGCCCTACTACCACTTAGGGACAGCATATCAACTGGTGCTGAGAAGAGAAATGGTGGATTGCTCTTGCCCTGCACATTACCTGATGGAAAGTAATAATCAAGCTGGTGGAAGCGAACTTCACCGGATTCCTCAACCATAGAGATACACTGTCTATTCTAATGTCGGACGTTTGGTGTAGTGGTTCGAAACGGACTACTATTCCAGAGGTTGCGGGTTCGATTCCCGCACAGTACAAACATTTGTGTGCATGAACATATTTGTTTGTATTGGACTGGGTGTTTTCTATGATGTATATATTTACTAAAAAAAAGTATTTAAGTGTGTTTATATCCGTTGTCTCGTACCCATAGTACAAGCTTTGCTTAGTTTGGGACTAGAAGCGCAGTGTAAAATGTCCAAGGATATTTATTTATTTTATTTATTTATTTAAACAGCCAAATCGTGTCGGGGTCGGACTAACCAAATCGATATCCGAGGAACGCGGGTTAGTAGAACCCCGCCACCACTGGACTATTCTGGTGAACTCACTCATTACACAAGCAATATTTAGCATACCACGAGTAGTTATCAGGACTATTAGACGCCTCTCTCTTTTCCCTTTGATCTTTTACAGTATAGATCGTTTCATCCACGAAGACGCACCCCACCATTCTTCCGCTAATGTTTGAGTGTTATCGGTACACACACACTAAAATCACACTTCAGTAATGACGCTCGGATTGCTCGGATTAAACTCCCCGCACCCCGCGCTTCCCTCGACCGAAAATTGGTGGGGCGCGTCTTCGTGGATGAAACGAAAGAAACTAAAGAAACTCTTTACCTTAGGGTTCAAACCAGACCCCTGCCTCAAGAAGGTGCCCGTGATGAACCAGAAGGAGTTGCAAACGCTGAACTGGTTCGTCAGGAGCTTCGTCTCGTGCCCGCAGACGTGGGTGCTGGTTGACCTGCAAGGTTAAATAATAATGTAAAGCCCGCACTTACTGCGGGTGCCAGTCGCACAGTCGCGACAGCAATATAATTACGCGCGAGCGATAAGGATGAGTAGCTAGGGGTCATTGGACAAAATCTACGTGCTCACGGACCAGACTATACTATCGGCCACAAATTTTGAAGCCACGATAGCCGAACGGTGAAGGGGTCGGACTGGCCGACTCGTGATCCGGGGAACGCGGGTTCGGTCCCCGCCGCCGCTCGACTATTGTGGTGAGCTCACAGATACATGTTTAGCTTAGTACGAGGGGCTAACGGGAGTATTAGTTATTTGTGCAATAACAAATCACTAATAAACTAATAAAAAAATATCTTGGGACAGGGCACCGACGAGATGGTCAGACGCGGTGAGGAAATCGGTAGACGGAAGCCTGCATCGTGCGGTCCACACAGCTTATGACCGCAGTCTGTAGAGGAACACTATTTACGTAAACTTAGTGGTGACAACTGGCTGGAAAATGTAGTGTGGGCAGACCTCCCCCCACTAGGTGGACGGACCATCCCCCTACTAGGTGGAAGATCGCGGGAAGTATCTGGATGCGGGTTACGCAGGACCGATCATTGTGGAAATTCTTGAAGGATGTCATCATTTTAGCCGCAGGAGGTCCGCTACTGAACATAAACCTCCCCCAATGATTTCCAGATTGTCCGGTTCGTAGCGGCCAGCATCCAGGCCCTCCTGCTACCTTTAAGAGACCGTCTTTCCACCTTGTGGGTGAACGTCACACGCTTCGCTTGCTGACAGCCCAATCGGCCGTCATTTCTGCTATGTGCCCTGCTTATTGCCACTTCAGCTTGCCAATCCGTCGGGCTATGTTAGCGAGTCAATCTTGACCTGTAGCCATACTTACCTTAAACAAACTTGACCTTCACTGGTTGAGTTTTTACTGGCGGTAAGCTGTAGATCCTGGCTACACAGGAGTTGCAGCGGTGGGGACGAGCGGTGGGAATAGTCCCGTGTCCCGTAGCCATACTTACCACTCGTATGGTGAGAACCTGGCCATCACGAACAGAGTGAACGACACCAGGACATAAGCAGCGAGGACGTACAGCCAGATCTCTATCGCCAGCGGGTTGAGGAAGCTGAACAGTCTGGTGGGCTGGGAGGTCGGGACCTGGAAGAGAAGACAGTGTGTTTTCAAAAGGCATTATTGTGTTCTGTTAACGTTCCGGTTACGAGCTATAATAGCCAGTTCTTCTGCGGTTGAGGATTCCGGGTGAAGCCGCGTTCCTCGGATCTCGAGTCGGCCAGTCCGACACCTTCACCGTTCGACTATTATCGCTTCGATATTGGGGAGTATAGTTCTTTGATACTATGAGTATATTATGCTATAATGTGATGACCACAGGTTTAAGTGGATGTGCCTCTCTTTTCTGTCAAAGATGGATTGGGTTGGTCAATCAGTGTTTGAAGTCAAGCTGTAGGTAGATTCTACAGGAGTTGCAGTGGTGGGAAAGACTAAGTGTAAAGGGATAAGTCCCGTTCTGTCAAAGATGCCTCCATGTAATACAATGACCCACCAGATAGTGGGTATGAAACTTTTCTTGCCAAAAAAGGGTAAATTTACTAACCTTGAACAGAATCCCGATGCCGAGGTTCATGAAAGGCTTGGTGAAGTCAATGACGGCTTCCCTGGCGTAATTGATTGTCATGGATGCCACAGCAATGTCTGCTTTCTGAAAAAGATAAAAAATCATCATCATCATCATTTCAGTCACAGGACATCCACAGCTGAACCACAGAACATAGGCCTCCCCCAATGATTTCCATATCGCGGTTGGTAGCGGCCTGCATCCAGCGCGTTCTTGCTACCTTTATGAGGTCATCGGTCCACCTCGTCGTCGAGAGATCAAATATTGGTTAGTACAAGAGCCCTCGAAGTCGAACCTTATCTTCAAACTCCTCGCATGTCCTTCTGATTAATTTCGTTGCTGGCAGTTTAACTTCCCCCGGGACAAACTTGGCCTTCACTGGTTGGGTTATGGCGGTCAAGCTGTAGATCCTGGCTACACAGGAGTTGCAGCGGTGGGAACTAATGGCGGGAAACTCCCGTTACAGGACGAAGCACACTTATCAACCCGAAAACGGATCGTAACCGCATCAACTCGAGGCGATCAGTATTCTTAGTATGAAAATCCGTTCTGCAACGCGCACTTATCCGCACTGTAACGTAAACGCCTCGCCTCGCTGTTGACAGTACGCGAAAGGCGATACGGTGTTGTTTTTCCGGCTTAATAAGTGTGCTACCTTTTAGTATAAGGAAAAGAGAAGTTCTTTAGAATATTAAGCAGGGATGTTATGGATATCCGTAACCGTAACCGAAACTTTCGGATATCCGAAATAAAAAAATATCCGAAACCGTTACCGATTCAAAAGTTTCGGATAGTTTCGGATGTAGGCAGTTTAAATTGTTTTTTGTATAGCATTATTATGTAAAGGCACAACAGCCTGATTCAATTAGTATCAATTTTTATTTTTTTTATTCGATTTAAAATGTGCGGCCATGAATGAACCGTGTACTTAAACCGTGTTGGACAACTATTGCAAATTGTATTCTAAAGCACAAATATCCGTAAACGTAACCGAAACTTTCGGATATCCGAAATAAAAAAATATCCGTAACCAAAACCGGTATAATTTATTCCTATAATATCCGTAACCGTATCCATAACCGAAACTACATATCCATAACATCCCTAAAATGAAATTAAAAACATACCCTATCCATCAGCTCCCTCACAATCCCGTTCCACTGTCCCGTATCCGGATCCCGGGCCCCGTACATGTTATCCGGGACGAGCCGCAGCCGGTAATGGAACCCGGCCCTCGCCGCCACCCGGGCAAGCAGGTCTATACAGAAGCCCTCGAACCGGGCGTTGCCTTGGAGGTTCCAGCCTTCTTTGACCATTACGTAGGGCTTTTCCTGTGGAAAGAATATCGGATGAGCTGGATACTTTCCTTAGGAATTAGATGTGCTGGAACACTTTTGATCAATCAGTCCTTCATGTTGAAAAGTTGAATGCCAAATATTACAAACTTAGATTCAGTGTATTGCTTCAGAAAACCTATTTAGCTATGATAGAAAAAGTTTGAAAAATTGTTACTCATTCCCTCTTGACGATTATCCAGCTAAGTTGTGGGTAAATCTATTTTTTTGTAAGGAGTTGGTTTAACACAATAGTACAGCTGGGCATCGAAATTATTTTATCCTTCTTTCACCTTCAATTCAATCAAAAAAATATATAAGATTTGCCAGCGATTACATGGATATTTAAATGTAAATTGGACCCAAGGTACATGCACAATGCTTGATAGAGAACTACACCCTCAAATCGCCAATGCCGACACTGCTGGACTATGTCGCCAATATATGTATGTATACCTGATAAGGAAAGAGAAACTCACCTCTACGGTTACCACAGTCAGCGTCACATTAGGCGGAGGGTCCCTCCTATACGCAGCAGGGTCGGTGATTGTCAGTCCCTCAACCGGGTCCCAGTGACCAGCCAGGACCGCCCCCCCATCCTCCCCCCCTGCCAGCCTCATCAGCTGGAGGTTAAACTTACTCCGGGAGCCGTTCTTGAACTCTATCGGGCCTGTTAGGCCGTGGGCTTTTATCTGGAAAGGAGACCATCAAGTCAATTATTTTCGACGGTTTTAGTTCGTAAAGAACTAGTCTATGCCAGAATTCGCGAGTTTGATTCCTACAGAGTACAAATATTTGTGTGCATTTATTCTGTCGGCAGTTGCAATTGGCAGCATGAGAGATCCATCCAAAAGGTCAGATGACGTCAGGTAGCAAGAAGGCGCTGGATGCAGGCCGCTACCAACCGGACAATGGAAAGCATTGATGTTCAGTAGTGGACGTCCTATGGCTGAAATGATGATGATGATTAGAACAGGTTTTATGAATGAATGACGTAAATTGATCAACAATTTACGTCATTCTTCCATCGTCGTCGTCGTTTCAGCCAAATGACGTCCACTGCTGGACAAAGGCCTCCCCCAAGGTTTTCATAATGAAAGGTCCTGCGCTGCCCGCATCCAGGCTCTTCCCGCGACCTTTACCAGATCATCGGTCCACCTAGTAGGAGGCCTGCCCACGCTACGTCTTCCAGCCCGTGGTCGCCACTCGAGAACTTTCCTGCCCCAACGGCCATCGTCTCTACGAGCTATGTGCCCCGCCCACTCCATCATCTAATCATCTTTCTTCCATCATCAGGTCATTTTATCTCCGCTGCATCATAGGAGGAGGATAGGAGCATTATCGCAGAGGTGAATGAAATATTAAGTTAGGCCTACATTCGGGTCGGGAAGGTCGTTCTTCTTCCTCTTTTTTTTCGTGTCGACAACAAACCTACACAGTGTCAGCCCAAAACTCCGCCACAAGAGTGGCGTTGTCAGTAGCACTCATCAAATCCTTCTGAGAGTCCTCCACCTGGACATGAGCTTACCTGGAAGTCTTTAAATAGACTTCGAACGCAGGTTGGCCGTAGTAAGGACAATCTGGCCAGGTGGGGATTCTTGGATGGCTTAAACATGGAGCGCAGGTGCGGTTTTGTTCCCCAGTCTGATGTCATGCCCTGAGGAATGTCGTTCTTACCGTATTAATGTTCTCCAGTAAAGCCTTCCCATTACTCCAAGGTATTTCCTTGTCACAGCTCACATTCGTGGTGTGAATCTTCTCAGTGCTCGACAGTGCCAGTGCTAGAACTTGCACAGCGTCGTAGAGCAGAGCTGGTTCAGTCTAGAAAGAGATATAAACATACAGTGGGGCATCACACAAATGGCAATACCAGATTTTGTACGGAAGGTGGCGTCTTTTTTTTTTTCGCGCGGCCAACGACCAAACTTGGTTTTTTGATTACAAAATAGTGCAATAAACCAAACTTAGTATGGCATGTAATACCTCTAAACTCAGTCTGAACTGAGTTACGAGCATTAGAAGTTTCATGATTTTACATAATTATGTACTAGATTTGCTTTTTGCGCGCAAGTTTTGTAAGAAATTGCAACAAAATATTGCGCTATTTTTTATTGCGCTGATTCTACTTCATACTGATGTCTGGAGCCTTTAATGGATGGTATTGTTCGTTTACACATACAATGTCACTATTTTGTTGCAATTTCTTACAAAACTCGTAACTCAGTTCAGACTGAGTTTAAAGGTTTACTTGTCATAGTAAGATTGGTTTATTACACTATTTTATAATCAAAAAACAAGGTTTGATCGATGGCCGCGCGAAAAAAAAAAGACGCCAATTTCCGGCATTGTCTTTTAAATCGATACATTAAAATACACAACAGCAGAACAAAAAAACACGAAGAAAGAATTTACAGTGAACTGAGTAGTGCCCTATGAACGCCCAACTAACTCCCCACATTCCTCACGAAGGCCCTACATAATCCCTACGTTACTTACAGCTCTAGCCAGATGCAACGCCCCACTAACTCTTTCTCCACATGCCAAATGAACGCCCCACTAAACAAAGACTCGCACCTAGCTAATATCTCGCGAATTCCCCGCTTGTTCTAAACACACGACCCACTAAAGCCCAACGAACGCCCTGCTAACGCCCCAAGAGCGCTCTACATGCCCCGCTAACGCCCCACTCACCTTAATATGCCCCCCGCTAAGTATAGACGCCCCGATGGGATGGAACTTCTCCATAACCTGGAGAGCTTCCTTGACCTTATCTGAGTCCCGGTTAACCAGCCGCCAGCCGCTGATATTCCCTCAGTTGTAGAAGGAGAGACGCCCCACGCACGCCCCGCAAGCAACCCTCGCGCTTATTAACACTCCCCACATTTCTCACGAACGCCCCACTTATTCCCCACATTTCTTACTAACGCCCACTAACTCCCCACGTTTCTCACGAATGCCCCACCAACGCCCCGCTCACCTTAATATGCCCCCCACTCAGTATAGACGCTCCAATGGGATGGAACTTCTCCATGACCTGGAGAGCTTCTTTAACTTTGTCCGAATCCCGGTCCACCAGTCGCCAGCCGCTGATGTTCACTCGGTTGTAGTAAAAATCCTCCAGGTCGAATAGTTCCATGTCCTTGGAAATAAAAAGATATAAGTTGAGAAGTTTTTTGGCAGAAGAATTATGTTTTATGCAATTAATTAACTTGAAGTACCGGTTCTGGTTAAAAATAGGAAGTAAAAATACTTACAAAAGATGTGAAGATGTAATGGTATTCCTCGTTATTCATTTGCAGCTGTAAAATCTGAAAATAAAAATAGACCATTTAAAGTGAATGCCGAATGCCTCACTTAAATCAAAACGGACGCCCCGCGAACGCTCCACTCTCCCGTTTATTCCCCACGTACGCCCCGCCTAATCTATACTAATATTAAAAATGCGAAAGTAACTCTGTCTGTCTGTCTGTCTTGCTTTCACGCCTAAACCACTGAACCGATTTTGATGAAATTTGGCATGGAGATAGTTTGAGTCCCGGGAAAGGACATAGGATAGTTTTTATCCGGGTTTTTGAAACAGGGACGTGCGCGTTATAGCTTTTCTGTGACAGACAAAATTCCACGCGGGCGAAGTTGCGGGCGGCCGCTAGTATTGAAATAAACCCCAAACCTTACTTTATCAAAACAAACCCCCTGTGAACGCAACACTGACGCCCCACATAAGCCCCACGATACTTACAGCTCTGGCCAGCTGCCGGACCCGCCTCGGGTCTGTATCAACAATGACCCGTGCTATGTTCTGCGCTTTCAAATGCGCGAGCGAACGACGATACTCTCGTCCGCCGTGTTGTATTCGACTGCATTCATGTCGCAGCCAGTTAGTCAATAAGAACGCCCCGAAATGCCCCAATATCCAATGCACGCTCCGTTTAAAAAATGCTCTAAAGCCCCGCTAAACTAAGGCCCCGCTAAAGTCCCGCTAACGCCCAATGAAATCCCCACTAACGCCCCATATTCCCCACATAAGCCCCACGATACTTACAGCTCTAGCCAGCTGCCGGACCCGCCTCGGGTCAGTATCAACAATGACCCGTGCTATGTTCTGCGCCTTCAACTGCGCGAGTGCACGACGATACTCGTCTGGCGTGTTGCATCCTACAGCATACATGTCGCGGCCATCTTTGGCTATGTTTAACACGTTTAGTTGGCCTGTAAATTAAAAAGAGAAGTAAGTACAATTACTTCATCATCATCATCATTTCAACCATAGGATCCACTGCTGATCATGTAGGCCTCCCCCAATGCTTTCAAGTGGATCGATTGGTAGCGGCCTACGACAAGTATGTACAAAATCTTTTTCTGTATAACCTATAAAAAAGCTAAAGTGACAAAGTAGTTTACTAATATTTTTAATGCGATCATCAAGCCTCATACCATCTAGTGGGGAGTATAGCTAAATTAGCTTCATCATCATCATCATTATCATTTCAGTAACAGGACGTCCATTGACCGGTTGGTAGCAAGCTGAAGTGACAATGGGCAAGGCACATACACAGGACAGCAAAGAGTCCGCAAGGTCAGTTAGAAAATCTTCAATATCTTCAAAAGTACCTACCTAGCTGCCTGACAGACGATCTCATAAAGCGTTTCAGGATTTAGGCCGCTATAGTCTGGTTTGCGAGCACGTAGAATTTTGTCCAATGACCCCAAGCTACCCATCCTTATCGCTCGCGCGTAATTATGTTGCTGTCGCGCTCGCACCCTCACTGCGGGCGCCCGTCGCACAGTCGCGACAGCAATATAATTACGCGCGAGCGATAAGGATGGGTAGCTTGAGGTCATTGGACAAAATTCTACGTGCGCACAGACCGGGCTTTACCAACCTTTCAATAACATGGAAATCCTCCTGTGAAAAATTACAGAGGTTCGTCCACCAAAAGTCAAAACTAAATGAAATAATTATGATGTTAATCCTGTATGCTAGCAACTCACCGTATCCATAGTCCTCGTAGATGATCCCCATCCTAGTCCAGTTGAGGTACGCAGTCAGGTCCAGGAAGGCTCGGTCCATCACCTCCCGAGGCGGGTGGAGGTTTATAGTGAAGTCTGAGTGGTCGTCAGCTGGAACAGTAATAACAACGTATTGTATCGCACCTGATGGTAAGTGATGATTAGGCCGAAGGTGGAAGCGAGCTTCACCCGGAATCCTCAACCACAGAGGAACTGGCTATCTTACCTCTAACTGCCGGAACATAACAATGCTGTTAACATTATTGTTATGGCGACAGACTTAGGTAAGATGGTGGTAGATAGCCAGGCGGACTTAGGTGTTCTGAGCATATGAAAGAGTGATGAATCAAGTGTCTTAAAGACTGACGAACTTAGTGCCTGATCAAGAGACAAACGTGTCTAAGAAGAGATGAGGAATCAAGGATCCAAAGTGCCTTATCTAATGACGAACCGAGTGTGTCTTTAAACAAAGAACGAGCGTCTAAGCGACGACATTATGAGTCTAAAAGATTTATAAATCAAGTGTGTTATAGACCAACGAACTGAGCATGAACCAAGTGTCTAAAAGACCACTGAACTAAGTGTCTAAAAGACCATGAACCTAGTGTCTAAAAGACCAAGGAACCAAGTGTCTAAAAGACTATGCACCTAGTGACTAAAAGACCAAAGTACCAAGTGGCAAAAATACCAATGAACCTAGTGTGTAAAAGACCAATGAATCAAGTATCTAAAAGACCAAAGGAACTGAGCGTCTGATCAAGAGTCTCTCCAATTGCTTGCTCGAGAAACTCTCCAGCTATTGCTCAAGGGACTCTCCAGCTGATGCTCAAGGGACTCTCCCATCGTTTGCGAGTGTCTGAAGCAGACCAAACCTATGATCAAGCTAGACTTATCTCGGTCATTCTCACGATTAGGCGTTCTCAGCCTAATTACCGTATCATTTTTGAAATTTGGCTTAATTGACTTAAACGCATTTAAATATAAAACACCTGAAAAGTACGAATTTAACAATCATAAAGGCGTCAAATTATTCAAAGTGGTTTTCGCGTAAATGAGACTCAAAAATTTTATGATCACGGTAATTAGATAAGGCTAATACTTTATCTAACGGTAATTAGAAAGTTACGTAAAATAACAAAAAAGCAATATCTTGTATTGATAAATTGTACACAAGTAGTCATAAAAACATTGTAGGTACTCTTATTAACACTTTGTAAAAAGAAAAACACTAATTTTATTATTTATTGAATCAAGATATTTTCAGTATACTGCAAGAATCGAGGCTATAACAGGAATACTTAGTTTCAGCAAGATGGGGCTACGTATCACACTTCAAATGAGAGCATTTAGCTGAATCAGAATCTGAATCATCATTTATTTGCTTTACATGTGGTACAAACGATGGATACAGATAATGGATCAGGTCTCACTTTGTCTTTTCGGACATGCATAATATGAAGACTGAAGTCTTTGTTTGTAAGCTTTACAAGACTTTTCTACAACCTCTTTGATGTTTGGTATCTCCAGGTATTCATGCACTTCAGTGGACTTTGTTAACCAAGGTGCACAGTTCAAGATTTTTAATACTTTATTTTGAAAACGTTGAAGTGTTTCTATATTTGAGAGGCTGGGTAATGCCATAATTATGTTTACATGGGTCTTAGGATGCATTTGTAAATCAGCAGTTCTCCAGGCTTTTTCTGCCCAGTGTCCATTGCATATCACGAAGTTTTTTTTTATGCACAACAAGGCAGGTATTTGACCAACAATCGCACCTGGTGTTAAGTGGGATGCAGTCTAGGATGACACATAGTGCTTATGCACTCTCGCCTTGAAAAGGCCCGTTATCTTTTCATTTGTTCCTTTTTGTTCTTAATGTGTTCACGCCAGGTTGAGTATTACTGTTGGACGATCTCTTCTTCTCAGGGCGAAGGTAATATGGATAGATTTTAATAGTATAATATTAATTAATTATATATCATGCAAATATCAATGTTGTTATTAATAGTAAAAATAAATAGCTGGTACGAGACATTTAAAAAAAAACTTCACGCAAGGCCATCAGGAAGCCCTGATTTTACTCCAGCAAACTTCTTATTGTGGGGTTACCTTAAGAGTTGAGTATACTCTATAATCCAACAACCATGCAGCAACTGAAGCTGAACATTCGTTATAAAATCGAATCTATTTAGAGGTAACTCTAACAAAAGCTTTTCAAAATTTTGATGTCAGATTGGAAGAAAAGTCCGTAAAGATATTATGCGAAAGCCTAGGTATTTTTTCATCGTACGTATTCAATCGTGAGTGCAATTTATAGGTAATAATTTCATACAACGGTGATTATAAATATATGGTAATTAGTCCATGGAAATTATAAAACGATAGTTTTTCTTCAAAATTTCCAAAACTTACAGGGTATGCAAATACTGTCTTACTACAATGTACGGAGGCCAAAGTTCTGTTTCTATTTAAATTAACAACGTGGATTTACCTTTATAAATCTAATTTAAAACTAAGGACATGGCAATTAGGAAAATTGAAAACCAAAGATACGGTAATTATACACTTACGTTAATTCATCGACGGTACGCTAACGCAATAGACATTCACTTGCTAACAGGTCAAGGCACTAACTAAGGGCTAGCGCTGCGCGCGGTGATGATGTCTCAAATACTATTATTTAGGCTAGTATGACCACAAACAGAAAACGTAACGGTAATTAGGACTTTAGCTCGGACAGGAAGTTTTTTAATTATAATTATTTACAGAATGGTTCTATTGAATAGATATTTTGCTATGCATAAGACAATCTTTTATACTTTTTAAAATGTTGAATGGAGTAACTCAAATATATACGACATAAAAATTACACCCAACTTTTAACATTAAGTCGGTGTGCGGACGCGTCACGGTAATTAGAGAACAGAGGTTCATGAAATAAATTTAGCCATTTATACTTAAAATAGAGGCCTATGATTTAATGCACAACTGGATAAGGTTGTTAAGTAACACATAAAAATACTTGCATGTCTCTAATTTGTCATTTTTAAGGATTTAACAGCCCGGACACGTAAAAACTAGCTAATTTGAGAATGGCCGATCTACACTGACCCAGGTCGTGGGTGCCTGGCGCTGCGACCAGATGCGGCACGTGCATGGAGCGGCACACCGCGCCGAGGGCCGCGCCCGGCAGCGGCCCGCAGCTGCTGAACACGGCCACGGCTCCCGACTTAATCTGGGTGCAGGCTGGAAAGAATAAAGGTAGGTTATAATATTAAAGTCTGCAATAACAAACAGGCCGGCAATACACGGACAGCACAAGAAGTTAGTCAGTGATCAACATACACGGACCGCTCTTGTAGTCAAGAGTCAACAGCTTGAAGCTGCCAGTGATAACTGCTCGAGCAGTTGGTATTAACTGCTCAACAAATCACAAGCGCGCGCGCTGTGGAATGAAGAAAGTGGGCGGAGGTAACTGCGCGAGAGCTGTCGACAGCTCGAGCAGTCAGTGTATGGCTCGAGACAGCTTGACCGCACGATGAAAATTCACCGTGCTGTCGACCGCCCGAATCAGTTGCAACTGCTCGAGCGGTTCGTGTATGTGCGTCCATAGAACTCTGCAGTTCACTATGCAGTCGCAGCTTGAAGCTGTCGACCCTGACTGCTTCAAGCGGTCCGTGTATTGCCGGCCAAAAAAGATAGGTANCTAGGAAGTCACGTCATTCACTGAGCCGAGTGATGGATAATTCGCATAACAAGTCAAATTCGGCTTGTTCTAAAGACACGTCGGTCGGTGACGGTGACAACGAACATGACGAGTCATTTGATAGTGCGGAGGAAGGATCGAGCACGGGCGCGGCCTCTCCGGCGCCGACCTCGCCATCGACGTTGCTGTCTCCGACGGCACAGCCTACTGATAAAAAGAGCAGGGAAGCTGCTATACGTTGTTGCAAAAAACTTAAAAATGTTAACTAATTTGATTAATGTCGAGATATACAGGGTGACTGGAACTGAACCCGCCATAGCTAATACGCGTATAGAGGAGGTCATTTGCTGCTTATTGAACCGTACTTTCAATGACTAAAGTTTTATAGTTTAGGAGATATGTCAATGTTTATACTTTTTTCAGATTTTTCCGAAATTTGACCTAAAAACTGCTTAAATTTTTTTTCTCGCATGATTTTAGCCGATTTTTTAATTTGNCGGAAGAAGAGAGGAACGTTCAGGGTAACGGCTTATAACCGCATGGCTTCCAAGGTACCCACTTTTCCATCCTTCTAGTAGGAGTCTTTCCGACCTGACATCGTGCAGTTATTATAACTATTGGAGTCTTTTAATATTTAGGCTGAGTTTTAAGAAATTTGTAGTGGCAATAATATTCACCAAACCGAACCTAATTAACGACCCTGAATCCCTTGAGATTGGCACTATTACAGTAGTTATTATAATATCGTAATTGTTAACTATATACGAGCATACGAGATAAAAATAAATTGTGTCAATTGAGAGGGAGCTGTTTTATTTACATTTTCTAATCTCACACAAGGAACGGTAACTTATATAAATTTCTGCAAGCCGGACAACCTCTTTTTCACGTGCAGACAATTCACCATCTTCTCAGTCTGCACCGGTGGCGGTTCAATTCCAGTCACCAAGCCGCCAGGAAAAAATCCCTTTCTTGCAGCAGCCCTATACAAATAAAGAAATTTTTACTTTGACTTTGACTATGAGTGGTGTCACTGCGTCGTCTTAAGCTTCGGCCAAACCAACGCGTGCCGTGCAGCCTGCCGTGCCAGGCAGTGACACCGCTCCGTCGACGCACCGCCACCGCAACTCATCGTGTGCTTTGGCTCTAAGGGGGAATATTCGAGGGTGCGTAAGTTTCTTGGAAATAATGGCCGCCGTATCAATACGAGGTAGGGTGTAGTGTGCGGTCACAAATCTTTATCGGCCTTTGTCATGATTTATTAAGGCGCGATGTTGGGAAGGCTTTGCGGCTCAAAAATTGAGGATTTAAAAAATCAAAATTATTGTTACTATATAAGAAAAAGACAGCTAGGACTGTAGCAATTAGTTAACTTAGTACAGCTAAGAAAAGGCTACCTGAAAAGGATAAATTTCGTAAAAACTAAAAGTGCCTTTAGTAATTTAAACTTATTTTATATCTTTATGTTAGTAACGCTACAGTTTCAGGTTGACAATCAAATGTGTATTTTTTCATTGCTCTATGAGTAACTTCTTGCTATTCTGATTTTCTTCACATAGGCTAGATGACAAAATTTCAAGTATTTGTCCGTCAGACAGATACTTAGTTAGAAAATATTAAACTCATATTTTTATTTTCTTTCATAATTAAATAATAACAGTGCTACATCGAGTTGAAATGGCGCGATACGTCACGCTTGAGTAGACTTTTTACTCAAAAGTGACGTCACGCGACATTTCAACTCAATATGGTACTGTAATTGTTCGATTATGCAAAAAATAAAAAATATGATTTCTAATTATCTGTCTGACGGACTAAATAGAATTTCGATTTTATTACCCAGTCATCATCCCTAATATTCTGTAATGTTATGAACCTACGACCTACCGTCAAAATCCGGATTACGGGATTTTACATTAATGATATTATGCCTACTCGTAAATCAAAAGAGCATTAGCAATGTGTGTGAAGGATCATTTTACATCATTATTTCAACCCACAATTCCAATATTTGGGATACCAATAATGATTAAGTACATTAAAATGTATTATCTAAAGGCACAAACAATTACACCACGATTTATCAAGCGCCGTGGACGAACGCAATGGTCCGTTTTCAGGCGATTTTTTTTATAGCAAAGGCGCGTTTTGCGCGAGGCGCCTGAAAAAACCCGGTGTGCCTGGGAACTAATTATAGTAGATTATAGTACATTAGACATACATTTTGTTGAAAATAGTACAGACTTTTAGTTGGCCGATAATTGGGCCCTAATTTGTATGAAGAATCGGTCGATACCAAATCGGTGTAATGTGCGCACTTTCTTACATCTCCATACTGATCAACAGCCCGACCCGACAAAGTCTGTAATGTAGTCTGTGGCTAGTAGGCTTTAACCCCGTATTCACAAACGATGCTTGCTTAAGTGAAAGCAAATAAAACGCACAGCGTTGAATAGAGCTCTGCGATTTATTCATGTGTCACCCTGTGCAACCACGCGCACTGTGAGACCTCATAGTAATGTTTGTGAATACTATTTCTTAAGCATTTTCAAATGAACAAAACAGCAGATCAAATTACACATTTTCGTTGAAAAATAGCTCCTATCACAACTAAATAANATGTTCTAAAAATATTGTAATAAATCATTATTTTAAATAAAATTGATATTAACATTTTACTGTTTTGATTTTAATTTATACAAGACTACAAATCACAATTTGAGATCACAAACCGGAAGTGCAGTGTAAAATTATCATAATAAGACAATTAAATGGACACTGAAAGTTATTGCTTAGAAAACATTAATAATTTTATTAGACAGTCTAACTCAAGTATATTATAATTATGTATAACCTAACAGCTCGGCCATCCTGTAATGCGCGAGTCCCATCGCGTTACTCAAGAAGAAATAAACACTTAAAAAAACACTAGAACGAGTATTCTACATTAAGTAGGNACCTAACAGCTCGGCCATCCTGTAATGCGCGAGTCCCATCGCGTTACTCAAGAAGAAATAAACAATTAAAAAAAAATACACTAGAACGATGAACACATGAAGTAATCATAATTCGATTTTACACAATTGAAATCTATGTGAAACATTATATTCCTTATTTTACTATCCATCCATTCCATAAAGTTTTGTATAATATTATAACTATAGATAACTATAATATAACTATACTATACTGTGATACATTCATATTAATGAGGTTTACAATTTCATGCGTACTTAAAAAAAATATATCTGCCTCTTTACATATAAAAGTGTACAATGTATAAATACTTATTATCTTTTTCTGTATTAATAATCGTATCATTTGAATAATTTATTTCATTAGTTAGCAAATTATTAGCTATGCGTGTGGTATCAGATATTTAACTTTTATCATTTCATTATACATATTCTACAATTGCTATCATTATCTATACTATTATTGTCATCATCGTCATCATCCTCATCACTTGTACGACTGTCAAAATTTCGATCAAAACTCATCCAAGGTTGAATTTTGTCAAAGGTCGCTACGCCCTCATAACCACGAATCCATCATGCCCAAGAACTTTAGTAATGCGATAAGGCCCTTAGTATTTGACAACCAACTTCTACGACTGTCCATCATGCGGTACTTGCCTTTCTATTCGAACGAGATCGCCTATTTCATATTTCCTACTGGGTTTCCTATGTGCTTTGTGTAAGGTGTTTCAACGCGTTTATTTACTTCCTCTCTGACCGATTTCAGTTCATCTGGAGATATGACGTTAATAGTATCCTCTATGACCCTAGGATCTATGATTTATGATATACACGGAATTTTTGTAACGATGCAACAACCGCGAGTGTTTCAAATTAAAATGAGTGGTATTTTTGCTCTTCCGAGGTCGTTTTTCGGCTGAAGTAGGATATAGGTTGTAAAATACCGTTGCTATTACGCTGAAGGAGGATACCAGCGAAGCCATTCTTGCCGGCATCTGTATGGAGCTGAGTCACAAGCTTAGGATCATACAAGGCAAGTAATGATCGTTCTGATAGAAGATCTTTTATGATTTGAAATGATTGTTCCTGAGATTCCCCCCACACCCATCCTATATCCTTCTTCAACAAGTTAATAACCCCGAAAGATCTAAGAATTGAAGCAGTTCGTCTTGATTCGATGGTCTTAGGAAAATTGGAGACTGATTCACTCTTTTTGGAACCCCGGACGTATTCCATTTGCGTTAACTTCTAAACCAAGAAAGTCAATCTTTACGAAGAAAAAGTTGCATTTGTTCAATTTTAACGTAAGTACGCCATTTCTTGATAAATCAAGAAACTCTCGAAGTCGCGTCAACCCTTCATCAAAGCTTTTACATGGTATAAGCACAAATAAGTATGTCGTTCATCTAGACTAGAGCATACTTGAGGTAGTAACCCGACGAGGTCCAAAGATATGAAAAGAGTATTACCCGCATTTAAGTCCAACTGATACTCGATACTCTCTCTTTTTTTTTTACTAGAACGATTGAGATACCGCTATCTACCATTTCTTGAACCCTATT